ATAAGTGAGGAGTAGGTGTATTTCCAGTTCTCTTTTCACTTAATGACATACATCATAAACATGTTTCCATACTAACAAGTGTTGTATCACATCAGTTTAAAGGCTGTAGCATTCCTTTTGTTTAGAGGGAGCAGAATGTATTTAATCAAGGTCCTGTTAGTGGATAATTAGGTAGTTTTCACTACGTCACCGTTAGGATAGTGCCACAGTGGGCATCCCTGTAATCAGATTTTTGCCCAGGTCCTTGATTATTTCCATGGCATAGATCCACTTGGGGAACTGCTTGGTCAAAGGCTATGTACATTTTAAGGCTTTTGGTAAGTCTCAAAGGTGTGCTTCTGACAGGTTCTGGAATTCAGGCTCTTCAAACCTGGTGCAGAAAACATCATTTCATGGCCTCAGAGTCCAACTTTTATTTATTTATTTATTTTTATTGTGGTGAAAACATACACAGCAAGACATCCACCAATGTAACAACTTCCATGTTTACAGCTCAGGGACACCGATGACATTTTTCATGTTATGCCGCCATTATTGCTATCTTTTTCCGAAATATTTCACTACCGTTACCAGAAACTCAATGCCCCGCAAACAAATCCCCTTTCCCTCTCTGTCAAACTTGACGCTTTCTTTCTCTTGAAGCCCTTTGCAGTATTGTTACTGTCTTTACTGTGTGTCAGGCTCTAAGACACTTACTACTTCTGGCGTCTTTTTCAGATGAGGAAACTGAAGCATAGAGAGATCAAAGGAGTCAGTAAGCAGAAGATCTGGGGGCATAGACTAGTTCCAGCATCGACACTGTTCACTGTCAATTCTGTCACCAAAGATACTTCTCACCCCCTACCCCTTTTACCTTCCATGCCATCGCCTAACCTATGCCAAGTACTACCATCCCACTGGCTACTTTCCCTGACTGGTCTTCCATTTCCACTCTTGCCCAGCAGGTGGACTATTGTTTTTAAAATGCAGATAGAGTCAAGTCACTCCCCTACTTTCAACTGTTGTTTTTTACTTTCAGTTGCTTTACTTGACTTTTCAATAAAATGCAAGTGCATCCCAGAGTTTACAGGCCCTGCCTCCTATCCCTCTGGCTTCCCCGGGAGTCAGTCTCCCCGCCCCAGCTTTCCCCACCACACATCAGTCACCACACTTCGGCTTCCCTAACCCACCGCCACTGAGCTGATTCTGACTCACAGCGAGACCCACTGGGTTTCCAAGTGTTCTGGTTCCCTGGTGCCGCTCTGACAAGAATATACCACACATGGGATGGCCTTAACAAACAGGAGTTTATTCTCTCACAGTTTGGAGGCTTTAAGTCCAAGTTCAAAGTGCCAGGCTCTAGGGGCTGTGTGAAAGCTCCTCGACCTTGGGCGTCAGCTCTGCCTCTTGCTCCTGGCCCACAGAAGCTAGAGGCTTTTCTTCACTCAGACAGCTGCTGGCTGCTGAGGCTAACAAGCCCAAGGTCAACAACAATAAAATGGCACAGTCCCGATGATGTTATCAAACCACATGGAAGGCCATTAATTCAAGTTCATTGTAAGCCCCAAGGTCGACAGAGCATGGTAAGCTGCTGAATAATGACACAGCTACATGCAGAGTCCAAGCATGCCATAAGCTAGAGACTATCTCCAAGGCTTCTCCTTATATATAGGGAGCAGACCACATCCCAAAGCAACTACTCAGCTGCTTGTGGTAGATCCCACCGTGGAGTTAATTGCCAGTCTCATCATGGGAAATAACTACCACCAGCTGTTCAGCCACTCAACCAGGCCCAGGCAAGTTGACATACAAATTTAACTACCACACCAAGGCAGTACGTCTTTACCGAAGTAGATTGCCCCTTCTTCCTTCCGTGGAGCAGCTGGTGGGTTTGAACTGCCAACCTCTTGATTAGCAGTCATATGCCTTAGGCACTGCGCCACCAGATCTCCTTCTGGCTTCCTTACATGTCCTCCAATCAGAAGAGCTCTTTCTAACCCTTGGCTTGGCACATGCTATTCCGTTGGCCTAGGATACTTTTCCCTGCACTCTGGATGGCTGGATTCTTCTCATCCTTCAGTCTCAGTTTTGCATCACTTCTTTGGAGAAAACTTTGGTAGTCTAATTTGGAGCAGCCAACCCCTAAGTCCATTTTTCTTTTATTCCTTTACAGCATTCATTAAAATGATGCATTTATCGACCAACCGACCCACTGCCATTGAGTCGATTCTGACTCACAGCAACCCCCGTTGGGTTTCCAAGTCTGTTACTCTTTATGGAGGTGGAGCCTTATCTTCCTCCCACTGACCAAATGCCTTGCCCACTGTGTCACCAGAGTGCCTTGTCTGCTGCTCATTAAATGTGCCTTTCCCTCACTAGACTCTAAATGTCAGCAGGTCAAAGGCCATCACGTCTCTCTTATTCACCATTATTTACTTAGCATGGAGCCTGGCCTTTAGTAAGCACTCAATACCTGTAGCTGACTGGGCCACAGAATAAGGGATGGGTAGGGGTCCTTGGTAAACTATCCTACCTTTGGTCAGGGCTGTTGCATCTCCTGCATAGCTTCATCTCCTCCTCCATATGGAATAGTGATGGGTCCAGAAGAAAAGCAGAAAGCATGGATGGAGACTGTAAGCAGGTTTTGCTTCAGGTGTCAATTCAGTTATTATTGGGTGCCGTTGAATCAGTTCTGAGTGATAGCAACCCCATATGACAGAGTGGAACTTCCCCACGGGACTTCCTCCCTTGTGATCTTTACCTGTGGGAGCTGATGCCCAGATCCTTTCTCCTACAGAGCAGCTGGTGGGTTTGAACTGCTGACCTTTGGTAATCAGTCAAGTGCTTAACCATTGTGCCACCAGGGCTCTTCAATTCAGGATAAACCAAAAAACTAAATAAAACAAAAACCAAATCCCCTGCCATTGAGTTGATTCCAACTCATAGCAACCCTATAGGACAGAGAATAACTGCCCTACAGGGTTTCCAAGGCTGCATGTAAACCTTTAAGGAGTTTGGTTGTGTAGTGGTTAAGGCATTTGGCTCTAACCAAAAGGTCAGTTCGAACCCATCAGACGCTGTGCAGAAGAAAGATGGGCTGGTTTGTTTCTGTAAAGATTTATGGCCTTGGAAACCCACCGGGGGTCATTGTGAGTTTGACTTTAGTTTATGTAAATCTGTATGGAAGCAGACTGCCTCATCTTTCAAGCCTGGAGCAGCTGGTGGGTTCGACCTGCTGACCTTTTGGTTAGCAGCTGGATGCTTTAACCACTGCGCCACCAGAGCTCAACTCAGGAAAGATGATGTCATATCAGGGGCACAAGGGAATTAGCACCCTGATTCCCCCTTGCAGAATTCCTGGATTCCACGAGAGATGCATGGCCAGGAGGGATCTCCCGCCCACATTCATTACCTAGCCAGTAACCCATATCCAGCAGGTTCGTGGGTCCCTCTGCCACCTTCAACTAGCTGGGTGACCTTGGCTAAGTCACTTGTCAGTAGTTAGAACTGGAGATGTGGTTTTCAAACTTTTTCTCCCCAGCAGCTCAACTCTTCAAATTATTTAGATGACCAATATGAGGAACAGGTAAGAGTCGAATGTTTCTGGTTGAAATGGGGGAGCAAAGCTGGGTTACTCCTCTGTGCCAACCCTCCCCTATAAGACCCCAAGGTGGGGGGCGGGTGATGGCCAACCTTTGAACTGTGGATCTCAGTGGTCAGCGCCTGCCAGACTGACATGTTCTAAGAGTGAAGTGGAAGGCAACAAGACTGGCAAATATATTCTGGTTGTGGCTGCCTCAAACATTAAGAGCTCAGGAGACCAGAGAGAACTTGCTGAATCTGACAGAGCTTTCAGGCTGTGAAGTAGGTGAATTTCACAGCAGTTAAAGTGCAGGGCAGCCCGTGCCTTTGTGTGGGGAGAGAGATGTTTCCAGCCATTTTAGAAATAAGGGCCCAGGAGAGGGGGACATGGGGAAGCCCGGAAGGCTCACTTTCCTCTCTAAAATTAGAAAAAGGAAATTGCCAACCCTACCTTTCCAGGCCGGGGATTGGCCTTGAGGGGGCCGCCCACAATCTTGCAGACACTTGGCTTCCAGGTTCGGTTGGTTACCACGCCCCAGGGGAACTCAGGTCCCCCACCGCCCCACCCCGCCACCCAGGCGGCTCTCCAGTGCACTCAGGAGGCTGCAGCCCAGGCCACCTGGCAGCTGCAGATGCTGCGTATGAGCTGCCATGGAGACAGCCTCGCGGCTGGTGGTGAGGAGGCAGTCTCCCAACGCTTTGTGGATCCCGGAGAGGAACCGGCTGGAGCTTTAGGCCCTTCAGGGCAGTCCGCTCGACCACCCTACCTGAAGGAAGCCCAGGTGGGTGCCCCGGAGGTTTCCAGGGATGAAGGGAGGGAGGAGTCAGTGGAGGGCGAGTACGAGCGGAGGCTCCAGATGAGCACCTGGGCAGAGAACCGAGCACAAGGCCGCCAGCTCACAGGGGAACCCTTACCTACGGGGTCGCTGGTCAGGCCAAGGCCCTGTGCCTGCACCTGGGCTGAGTGAGTTGGCTCTGGAGGGCTGGTCCTGGTGCCCAAGAGAAGGGAAAGACCCGAGTGTCCAGAGAGGCCATCTCTTGAGGTAGCAGGAAAGGAACTAGCTGGGTGAGCTGTAGCCCACCTGCCCTCCTTGGGTTGAGAGCAGCCAAGGGTAGAAACAAGGAGCATCTCGTCCATGTCTAAGGCCCAGCTGCTCTTTCCTCCAAGGCCAGCTCCTTACAGTGCTGTAGGGGCGGCTGGCTCAGGTCTTCATCCTGAGAGGTGGAGACTTAGGAGCTGCGTGACCTGGGACGTGTAGCTTCATGTTTTTGAACCTGAGCTTTTTCATCTGTAAGATGTGGGTGATAATACATTTTAACACCCCCAGAACACTTCATCTGGGACCAAGTAGAGGGACAGAGCTTAATGGTGTACCTTTGCTCCTTTTTCTTTTCTACTGGGACATCGCCAGTAAGGCCTCCCAGTGTCTGGTCTGAGGATGGCTGAGCAACGAGGCCGGGAACCCGAGGCTGAATGCCCTGTCTGCTGGAACCCCTTCAACAACACGTTCCACACCCCCAAAATGCTACACTGCTGCCACTCCTTCTGTGTGGAATGCCTGGCCCACCTCAGCCTCGTGACTCCGGCCCGGCGCCGACTGCTGTGTCCACTCTGTCGCCAGCCCACTGTGCTGGCCTCAGGGCAGCCCATCACTGACCTGCCCACAGATACCGCCATGCTTACTCTGCTCCGCCTGGAGCCCCACCACGTCATCCTGGAAGGTCGTCAGCTCTGCCTCAAGGACCAGCCCAAGACCCGCTACTTCCTGCGCCAGCCCCGGGTCTACACTCTGGACCTAGGCCCTGAGCCTGGGAGTCAGGCCAGGCCCCCCCAGGACACGGCCCCTGCTACCGTGACCATGTCCATCCCTAGTCACTACTCTCTGCGGGAGTGTTTCCGCAACCCTCAGTTCCGGATCTTTGCCTACCTAATGGCTGTCATCCTCAGTGTCACTCTGTTGCTCATATTTTCCATCTTTTGGACCAAACAGTTCCTTTGGGGTGTGGGGTGAGGGTTCTTTTCCCTGACAAGGAACCAAGCCTTTCTCAGTCGCCGCTCGTGACTGCGATTTGCTGCTGGGTTTGGGGACTGCAGAACCTCTTGGTGTCTTCCTTCACAGTATTGTGACTCTTACAATCCAGGGATCAGTGAGACGGTCCTACTGGAACGCAAGCTTCTGGAAGCTACTGGGCTGCGAGATGTGGAGGGGCCTCTGGGTGAGAACCATGGGGTCATGGGAGGGCAGAGAAGCAGAGCTGATTGCACGGCTACACAAGTTGTGCCAAAGGGCTGGACAGTGGTACCCAGGAACCCAACTAGCCCAAACGCAGGTTGCATGTTTCACCAGAGCGGCCTTCAACTCAGTTTATGTGGTTTTGAGTTGCTCTTTTCATCATGTGTTGCTAAAAAATGTAGACAGTGAGCTTGAATTCTGTGGGCAAACGTGTCTCCCCTGCTCAGCTTTCTCTCTGGATCCTCGCCACCAGCCTCAGTAAAGGTGGTCTGCATTCATTACTTCACTCCTTCATTCAACCACTATTTACCGGGCTGCACTGAGTACCAGACCTAGGGGAAGAGGGTAGGATTATCCAGGGGCAGCAGTACCAGACCAGTGGGGAGGGCAGGCTCACCCGGCAGCTGCTTGTACAGGACTATCTCTGGTCAGCAAGTAGTTCCCTCTGTAATTCTAGCCCTACGGGCAGAGCCTCAGAAGCCAGGCCAGCCCCACAGGCAGGGAGACACCAGTCTCCACTTTACATCAGCATCTAGCAACCAATGAAAACTACTGCTAGAATTTGGATGTTTGGGCTGGTTAAATGCCACAACAAGAAAAGACAACATTTTGAATTTTTTATACAGTAAGTTTTCTTTCAGAGGCTAGAAACTGAGTCGGTTTTATTTGCTCTAAATAACTTTTTAGACTTCGTGGAACTAAACAAACAAAAAAGACAAAACCCAAACCCATTGCCATCACGTCAGTTCTGACTCATAGCGACCCCCACTGGGCTTCCGAGGTGGTAAATCTTTATAGAGGTAGATTGCCCAGTCTTGCTTTCACAGGGCAATCTACTTCTGTAAAGGCAAGTTTGAACTACCAACCTTCTGGTTAGCAGCCAGATGCCTTAGGCACTGCACCATTACTGTTGTTGTTGTTGTAATTTGTCATCGAGTCTATAATTCTATAAATTCCCCTTGGGGTCTAAATATACAAGCTATTTCAAAATAGCCGAGACATGCATCTCATGTTTAGTAAAACCAAACCGATTTAAACGTCAATGTGAAGAAAATAAATTCTCAATCACAAAATTGGAAAGCTGCCTAGGTGGCCATCAGGGGACTAGCATCTACCTCTGCCCTCAGGTAATTACACCAGAGCTGGAACTCAACCTCTCTCCACTGACTTCATTTCTCCACATCCTCCTTAACACTGAGGTAGGTAAGTCAGGTAATGATCTCACCCGAGATCACTCTGAGCTCAGAGGGGACAGTAGCTCAGGGGGCGGGACAGGGAGAGGAGCTGGGGGATGCTCAGGAAGGAACACTGGTCCCTGCACCCCAGGTAAGCTTTACCCCCAGTTTACAGAGGAAATCGAGGCACCCAGAGTTTAGCTACTTTCTTCAATGTCATACAGCTAGTAAGCTGGGGAGTCCTTTCAGTCAAAACTGAACTTTGACTCTTGCCAAGGTTGATAAACAGTCCAAATAAGAAAAGATGCAGGTTCGAGGTGGTTTTTCGATAGGGAAGGATGTATTTAATACATACTCTGTAGTTCCAACCTAGGGCCAGCACCACCCTCCTCGGGTGTATCTGGAAACACGTGGGCACATCTCTGATGCTCCAATGAAGGGGAGGGGTTGTGCTTATGACATTTTGTGCCCAGAGGTCATGAATGCTACATCTACATACAATGCTTAAGACAGTGCCACATACCTTAATGTCATCTACCCTAAAATGCAAAGTTATCCTGGTGAGGAACACTATCAGCCCTGCAGAAATTCGTAAGGTAAAAGAATTATTTGGCATGAAGTCAGAGTCTTAGATGAAGTGACTTGTCAAAAAGG